AAGACCCAATGCCCCTTCCTTTTGATCATTGATACATAGCAGTGGTTTCCAAACTTTTCGCTGAGTAATCTGCCAGATATTCTGTCTGTTGTCGTTGAGTCGAAATCGCTTATTCCAGAACTGCTCTCCATACTTAACCTAATGCACTGAGTTATTCTCTGCTCCATCCCCCCCCCACACTGGTGCTGGTGCTTCTGAAGGTAGCATTCCATGTGCAGCTTTTCTCGAGTATCTTTAGTAACGCGTCTGTTGTCATGGAAAACAAAACCGTAGTCAGTGTTAACCTTCGACAGAATCCCATTCAATATTCTTCCATAAAATTTCCTCTTATAACTGGAAAACGTTTCTCCCGACAGTAATACTGGGCAAGTATCTGTCATCATTATATGCGTTGGAATAAAAATGTCCTTCTTGCATGTTTGCACGACCTTTATATATTTTGTGGATTAATTAAACTGTAAAACGCTTTATAGTGTCAGTGTTTTAATGAGAATTTTGTCGGAGTCAAGGGCCATTTTTAATCATTCGACCAGAGAACTCTCACACTTCGTCGAGTAGAATTCTTCTGATCAATCCGTAGTCTAGTGGAGTTGTTTCAGAAGTTTTTCTATGATTTTCTTTACTTATCACTTGTTTAGAACCGTACTAAAAATTGGCTACAAAAGTTTATTTCACCCTTCAGCACTTTTCCGTATCTGATTTTACGCACTTCATATTAGCCGTCTTTGGCCAAAACTGGATTGCTCGTCGGCAAGTCTTTGGTTCGAGCCCCGGTCAGACTACTCCCATGTCTTTCATGTTAGGTAAGTAATCACTACCACTCTATGAAAGGAAACAGCAGAGAACACAGTGTTTCGCATCAAGTTGTAGGCAGTACCTTTTAGAATGGAACTTTGATTTATTGCATGAGAAACAATCAGCTACAAATCACAGGCTTCATGAAAGAAGGGCGGCACAGACGGCACAAAATTATGAATGTGAAAGGGAGAAATAAGGTTAGAAACTTTGCACTGATTTCATAGGAGTATGATGGTTTTCTTTCTCCTCCTCATGCTGCGTGATTGACACCAACTGTTATTTTTTCAATCGTTCAGAATTTACCTATAAAAATGCGTTGATTGTTGCTTTCTTTCAACAGGCCTCTTGGCTCCTTCGTTCATTGCAGTCTCTGCTTCCTCAACATCTCTTTAACTTCTGTGTTTTCTGACTTTCGCCATACCGTAATGGAGTTCATTCCTGAATGTAGACGTTAATTTCAGTTTTCCGAACTGGTCAATTTGCATTCTTGAAAATCAGGTCGTCACTCGCTATGACGAGTCGTCTACTCTCCAGTTGCAGTTTCCAACTTTGATATATCTCCTAATGTACATATAGATTTTGCTCAAGCTTAGACAGTTTTACTTTTCGATCTGCCGTCGTCTCAGGATTCTTGAAAAGCGCCACCAGGTGAGGTTCAGGACAAGTAACCGGTTCCGGTTTGCATAACATTCATTCAAATAAAGTTTTATTCTTCAGCGTAGTCTGTTTTATCTCTGCTGAGAATGGCGCACACAGCCATTTCAGTTGATCGGTTTGCTGATGAGGTGCGACTTTCTCAAACTGTCAAATGTATTTGTTATGGAAATGGAACTCTCAGGGATAGAATTCCCGTTTGTTATTTAAAAACCGTGTGGGTTGGCACCCTGTCCTTTGCGACTTAGTTTTGCCTAGCTGCTTCCAGCAAACCAGAACTCGGTTGCTCCATTAGTTGCTGTTTCCTTATTCCTAGAAGTTGTACTTGACTTTTAGCGCTTTCCGACGCTTTTCTAACGCAAAACATCTGCGTCCCTATCAAAGAAAGAATAGTAATGCTTAGCATATTAAACTGGCATCAACCGCATCGCGAAATGCTGAGGAACTCAGAGCACTGTCAAGTCAATGATCAAGCGACAACTGGCATTTTTGATTTTTTCCATCCAATTTTTGTCAGCTATGAACATAGCAGCGAAATCTTGCTCAACATTGCCACGAATGAAAATATCATTCCGTAGGCTGCATAACGGAATCTATGACTTTTCTGTTCAAGTTATCAACTTCCTGAAATGGCATTAATTCAGAATACATCCCAGCTGCATAGCGCTAATTTCATAAGTCGATAAACTTTGACTAATTGTCTGGCCCGAGTGCCCGTGAGCTCTGCCGTTCTGTGTTTAAGCGACTTCAGAGCTTCCAAACGTGTCTATAAAAGTCATAGTCGTAAAGAGATATCTCGTTTTCTCTTGTTTCGAAGCGGGAAACCAATGGTCACCATGAGTACTATTTTTCAGCGTTTTATTGACTCGTAAAAGAAATATACATAAAACTAATTTCGCAAACCTAGTTCCGTCAATTTCGTTTCATGCTGAATCAAGTACATATGATACACAGAAAAAAATTAACATTAGAATGGAACAATACATTTTCGCAGTCGTCATAAACATACGAAAATTCTATCCATCAACATACTGTTGCTTACTGCTGGATCGAGATAATTTTTTCATGCCATTGCAGTGATTGCTGAGCGGCCTGAAAAACACAACGGCTTAAATTCGTCACGGAAAAAGTGTCGATGTGTTTTAGGACACATATTTTATGAAATTGGTTGACAAACAATGAGCTAATGTGCTGGTCATTATCAACATGCCAGTCATAGCTTGCTTCTTTCAATCTTCTCCGAGCCATTTGCATCTGAATTCATGCAAAACATCACGTACAATTCATTACCCTTCTGTTGCCAGCTCATCAATTAGTGAATAGAAAACTACCATTGATGCAGATTTACCTTCACCACTTCAGTCAGCATTAGAAGTGAGCTGGCGTTATAGTTCTGGCTTATGAGTTGCATACAGTTTTAGTCGTGATGATTAAAGGATGCAGCTTTTATCACTGCCATCTTCAGTTCACCAGAATTTCCGGCATTATTTAACACTGGCAAGACTCGCTGAGAAATCAGTTGTCGAGTGCAATATCACCTTTAATCACATCGGCATCCATAGCACTTTCGCAACCGGGTATCGATGCTTATGTAAACGGTGAAGGTTCTGATCCGTCTGATACAATTTTTAATTGAACCTGATGTATTTTTATGACTGACTGTTAGCAAATAAAAATTCTGCCTACTTAAACGTCATTTGTGAGACTTCTCTAACAAATGAAATGAATAAAAATGCATATCGTACTGCAGCCATTCAAATATAATTCAGCCATGGCGTGCTGAACAACTCATTCCCAGGTGACTTGCTACAACGGACGGCAAAGCCTAGTCTTAGACGAGTCATCAACCACTTAATTCTTTTAAAATAGTGGAAGTTTTTACACTCGCTTTCTTCGAGTACACTAAAACGCAAGACGAGGGGTGGTTTGGTCGCAATTCTGCCCGAGATAAACTAAAACATTCAGGTTCCGCTATTAAAATATAGCTATGCTAATTGAAGTTTCACTTAGCACGCGTTGTAGGAATTAACTACTCATATTTGAAGCAACCACTGTATGTTGGTCAATGACCCGAAAGCAGTTGAAATGAGCAGTAGTTGAACACCCCTCATTAGACAAGCACCTCAGCAACCGTTTAAAAGAACGAAAGCTATCACAGGAATAAAAGCTAAAGGAAACTGAATGAAAAGTATCGATTTTACGAGAGGAGCATAGCCAGATAACCGGTCGAGGTAGACATCTCCCTCATTAACGCGCTTATTGCAAGGGTGCCGGAATGCTGACAGGTTTATTTCCTGCACTATAGCTATAGAAGTTATTTCATGCATTGCGGTGTTGAGGCCTTCTCTTTACTATATTGATCGCAATGATACGTTTAACGTTAGTTTTCTTGCAGACAGTGAGTAACATTCATTTTCGGACAATGACCAATAAGCGTTGGCAACAACGGCTGAAAAATTTCCGCAGCGACTAAATGAAGCTGCAAGGAAACTGTTCAGACACGACTCAAACGAAATCTAATCTCCCAAAACAAAGGATGGTTTTAGAAAGGAACCGGCGCCAGCAACGTGTTCTTGTCTAGAAATGCAGATGAAGTTGATATGTCGTTACACCGGCGGTTGATAGAAAAATAGTGGTCCCCGTCAAATAACGAAATAAAAGTAAAAGAAAGTTTGTAAAGAATGGTAAGTCGGCCTCTGTATACTCTCATGATGGGAACCTTTCGTCGGGCCCTTGTTTTTATGGAGCTTATGGTACGGGGCTAGTCTCTGTTTCCGCTTCATGAACCAGAATCATCCTATTTTAAGGACAGCGTCTTCAGGTATGTGACAGGCTTAGCGCTTGCCCTCTTGTTACGTTTTCCATAGAAGGAAACTCATCTAATTTCCTCAGAAGAATGAAAGGCAAGTAGAATGACCGATAATTGGACTTAATACCTCCATGTTGTGAGTGCAACGCTCAACGACTCAGCAGCTTCTAGTTTGAATCCGATGGAACCGAGGACTGAGGTAAAGACAGCCAATTGCGCACGCTTGTAGTTAAGTGAACGGATATTATTAATTACTGAACCATCAGTCGTAGAAAAAACTACACCTGTTCTGGTATAATGTAATCTGGCCAGATCATGAACATGATTATTGCGACGCATCATGAATTTGGGACTCATCAATCAAGCGAAACGAATGAAAGTTACCTCTTTGTGCACCTGGCGAATGTGCGAGTTC